AAGACAAGGGTTACGTATTGCATATGGCACATGATACGGCATAAAACAAGGGTCATGTCATTCGGCATATTGGGCCCATGTCAACCCGTGCGACCCGTGCGACCTGTATGACCCGCGGGTCAAATCAAATTCATGACCCGACCCGAAATATGGTCAACCCGACCCGTTCGGAACTCTACCACATACTACAACATTACAAGGAACGATAATATCAAAAACTCAGACATTAGCTTGACAAATAGCTCCTTTAGATTTTTCTCCATCTTTTACAATTTCAGTTTCTTCCATCAAGTTCCATATCCAATTTGACTTCTCAGGATCACCCTTACCTTTCTTTTCTTCAAAATATGAGCAGCAGAAAAACTCATCCTTCTCATTATTGTATTATTTCTTTCTCCTATTATAGAGACTGAAGGCTCTTCTTCCATTTTTAAATTTAATTAATAGATGAATTAAATGATAATTTATTACACAATATATTGATTATCAGTTATTCAGTGAATATTCATTTTTAATTTATTATATTTGGTCAATCAATCAATAAAAAATCAAATATCCAACTAACCAAATATTCACTGGATATTCACTGGATATTATTCATTGGGTGCAACCTCTATGGAAAAAATCTCTCTTTAAATGTTACAACAAGATCTATCCAACGAAGTATTTACTTCTATACACTTCATGTTTTATTTTTCCTGAAAACTATTGTTTCAATGATCAAGGGTGCAAGTCAAATACAATAATAATATTAGCAATAATAAAAAGATAAAAGCTGATAGAATTAATTTTAAAGAAAAAGAACTTGAAATAAAAAAAATTGGAATGTAAATTGGAAAGATATAAAGAAAAAATAATTGCTTTTATATGAAGATCTTCTAAAAGATAGTTCCTCATTAAATAATTAATGTTATCTCTGACCAAAATAAATTTTGTGTAAAAAATTTATTATATATCAGTTTTTAAATTCAAATCATACAATGTTCTTTGTGTGTGTAATCAAAAAATACTTATGTTTATACAATTTAGTATAAGAAAATTCGTTCTATACAGTATGATGTACAATAGCCACCGGACTATACAACTTCATATATCATATTACACTAAATTATACATGTTAGCAAAAATTAAACTATTAGTAAATGATCACTGTCAAATTCAAAATGCCAATATAGCTTTTCATAATAGCTGAAATTAATTTTAATAGCCAAAATTGTATCCAAATTATTTGAATTTCTTGATTCAATAGCCAAAATTCTGAGTAGTTTTTTTTATGATCATTAATATAGAGAATATGGAAAAGCTAGAATGTGGCCAAAATATTGGCAAATGCAAAAACAATTTTGGCTAACATGTATGTACTAAACAGTGCAACACTACAATGGAGTATATTCCTGTGTTTGTAAATTTTCTCTCATATTAGTTACCTTTACTTCTAAATTTGGAAACCTATTACATGACATTTTTTACCATCATGTCTTGGGACCACCAATTATTAATAGAAATTTGTGTTCTTCTGATGAAAAGTTTCAAGTTTATTAACATTGACTGTCTTGACAGCTTTATTTTGTAAATGGCTGGCTACCTTCTCCAATATAATATTGTTTTTTAAAACAAAGAATTTCTTTTACTTTGGTGGTTTAAAAGTTCCAGCAAATTCTTTTTATAGTTAATTTTTAAATTACTATTATAAATATGTTTTTTTATGTTTTTCAACAGTGGATTATTTCTTTAAAAGTTTGGCGCTTCATATTTTGTGCCAACAAAAGTTCAAATCAATACTATCAAATCATATACGTCTTGAGTCAGGTCCAAGTTTATGCATAACAAATATTTTAATATTTGATGAAGATATGAAAAAAAGATTTAATAATTGTAATTTAAGAAAATTTTGCTGACATTATTATAAACGGACAAAATAAATTTTTCGTGGACCACGTAAAAACGGGGGCGATTTTTTTTTGGTGAAAAAAACGGATGTGATAATCAATTTCGAATGATCGACAATGTTTATAATAATTTTATTTTCTAAACATCTGACTGATATAATAATGAATTTATCACAATTGGAATTATATTTTAAACATTTTTCAAAGTCTTTGGTAGAAAAATATTATATGTTATTATTAAAATTTTAAATTAGAATATTATTTAATTAGTAACCTTAGTAATTTTATTGTTAACAGCAACAACAACAACAGCACAAAATCAATATTAATAAAAATATTAATAATAGCGATAGTAGCAGTAGCAGTAATGATAATAACAACAACAATAATAGCAATCCAATATTTGAATGTAAAACTAAAGTTAAAGAACATGTCTTGCCATACTCTTCTCATAGAAAAGATTTCAAAATTTGTGCGTCTTCTACCACCATCACCACCACTTCTACACCTCCTTTACCATCTTTTATTAGGTAACTTTCATTATTTAACAACTGATTAATTTATGATTACTCAATTATTCTATCAACTATTTATAGTGGACCAAAGATTTGGAGAATAAATAACTTTGATATTGGATTTGGGCTTGGTAAAGGACAATATGGAGATGTTTATCTTGCAAGAGAGAAAACAAGTGGATATATCGTTGCATTGAAAGCAATGTACATACCAAAGATGATTGAACTTAATGTTGAAAAACAATTGAGAAGAGAAATTGAAATACAAAGTAATCTAAGGTAGACAGATGTATATGTAGATATATGTATATTATATTGATATTGTTGCATTTATTATATTAATTATATTATTATTGTTGCTGTTGTTACTACTATAGACATCCAAATATTCTTCGTTTATATGGACATTTCTGTGAAGAAAACCATGTATTTCTGATTCTTGAATATGCAGCTAATGGAGAAATTTATAAACATCTTAGAAAGTGTACTAGATTTACTGAAAAGCGTGCATCAAGGGTTTGTAATTCCTCTTATTACTGTATTAGTTGTGAATGAAAGATGCTAATTCAGTCAATCAATATGTTATTGTGAATTAGTAGTATATTGCTCAGATGGCACATGCTTTAGTTTATCTTCACCATAAAAATATAATCCATCGAGACATTAAGCCTGAAAATCTTTTATTGGGTCCAAACAATGATCTTAAAATAGCTGACTTTGGTTGGTCAGTACATGCTCCTGGTCAAAGGTAAAGAAAAATGGATTTAATTATAATTATTGCTATAGAAAATGTCTAATTATTTATAATAATATATCCATTACTATAAAACAATATATAAGACGTAGAACATTTTGTGGCACATTGGATTATCTTCCACCAGAGATGGTTGATGGTCTAGTTCATGATTCAAAGGCTGACTTGTGGAATCTTGGAGTTTTATGTTATGAACTGTTGTCTGGTACAGTTCCATTTTCAGGACCAGGTGGTCGCGAAGGTACACACAAAAGAATAGTGAGAGTGGAGTATTCAATGCCTGATCATATATCAGAAGATGCCAAACATTTTATTAAATTGGTAACTACTATCTTTACTGCTATCCTGATTATTTCAATATTTACAAAATAAATCATTTCTTTTCTCTAAATATTTTTATTACTTCTCAAAAAAAAAAAAAAAATAGCTACTTCAAAAAAATCCTGATCAACGATTATCCTTGGAAGAAGTTTTGAAACATCCTTGGATTTTAAAGCATAAAAAACCAATTAATAATTATAATAATTATAACTATACCTATTATTATTAATATAATGAAGGGAAGAAAGAAAGTAGAAATAGAAAGAAAATAAAGAAAAAACTATCAGATTTCTGTTCATAATAAATCTTCATAGAAAAAGATTCTTCTTTCAGTGCTTTATTTTCATCCTTTTGAAAGCCAATAATCCTCAATAATTGTGCATTTAATGTAATCATCATTTGAAGTATATAATTTTTTAAAAAAGGCTATTTGGAAAAAATAAACTAATCTGATTGCAAACTATATATAATAAAATCTTTTAAGGAATTATTATTATCATTAATCCTTTCAATTTTTAAAAAATCTTTCATCATTTGGTCAAATTATATTTCAATAAAAAATAAAATAAAATTTATTAATTTATTTCCAAAAGTATTAATTCTAAGTGAAAAATTTTTTTTGTTACATCAGAATAAGTGCACAAAAGGTAATTGTTAATAATGAAAAATTTCCGGTGAAAATTTTTTTAATTTCTATTTCTAATTAGATTTATTCATATACTCATCCTTTTCTCGGTGGATTCCAGATAGTATATGCTCTATAGTACTGTTGTACGTGAAAATGAAATTATGTGAATTGCGAATTCACATATGTGAAATTCAAATTTACATGCGTAAAATTCAAATTAGCCAATCAGAATTTCACCCACTCCATAATATTTCAATTTCAACAGTACTAAACAATGAAACAACACAGTGATTGATCGTAAAATTATCCCTTATTATTTAACAGCAACGCTTCCTCTTTTACCTCAAGTAAAGAACATCTATATAATAATGATAAATAATAGATCGTTACAATAGATATGGATTTTATGATATTCTTGCATCAACTTGAATTCATTCATTCATTCGAAACTAAATTTCCTTCCTTTCATAAATTTATTTGTTTTCAAATTGCGTAATGATCTTCAAGCCAACAATATTACTTTCAATGAAAAATTGTTATCATGTGAAAATTTTTTGTAACTTGGCTATCAAATCAATAATTACGTCATATCCGCCAGGCCCCTAATACTAATCGATTTTGTAATTGATATATATTTTTGAATTAAAAAACATCTAACTTTCCGTGCTATGATGCCGATTTTGGGGTTAACATAGTAGACTTGTGTTTTAATTCCTTCATGGTTCAGCGACTAAATGACTTGCACAATCGTTTGAACTTCATAAATGTAAAATTTTACAGAACAGAACAGAAAAGATAGATATTCATTCAAATAAGATAAAAAAACTTTACGTCTGTAATTGTTGGTTTAATAATTCTATTGAAAAATTTATATATATATTAAAAAAATGCATATAAATAATAATGATAATGAATAATATACATGACTATTATTGTTTATAAAAAAAAAGTTCGTGAATTCTTTTTGAATAAAATTTAATCATATTCCAGTCTCACATATTCCTTCATACAAATAAATAAGTGCAAATGAGATAAAAAGAAATGCCCCAATGATTGTGACTATAATCGATTTGATTTTGTAAAAAGATGTTAATAAATTATTTTTAGTAAAATAAATAAAATTATTTATTCTTTACCTGTTTTGACCGAGATTTTAGCTGCCAAGAATCTACCACCAACCACTGCAAGGCCTGTGCAAATACTATGACCAGCTATGGTACCCAGTGTTACCCAATAAACATCCTAAATAAATAAATAAATAAAAATTATATAAGTATCTAATTAATTGATTATTTTGTTACATTTTTAAATAAATAATCAATTTATTTATATGTTATTATTAACCTGCGCAGCAGCCAAAACAATAGTTGCTATTTGTGATCTATCACCCCATTCAGCCAAAAAAGTCAATACAAATGTTTGAACAAAAATAGGCGAAAAAAGAAATTGACACAAGTTGATTAATCCTTCATTGAAAGTTGATTCCTTTGTTTTATCAACTGAACCACCGCCTTCAGCCTTATCAATAACCCCAGTCTCCTCTTTTTCCTTCAATTCTGCTGTGACTTCTTCCAATTCTTGTTTGGCATCTTCATCTGTCATTTGCCATCCTTCAAATCCCATTTTTATACCAAAAAATAAAAACAACAATGAAGCAAGGTAATTTGTATAAGATTCTGGAATCAAGTTTGGTACTGCATGACCTAAAACAGCTGACAGAATTGACATCAGTGCAAGAGCAGAAAATGCCGCAGAAAATACTAAAAATCTTGAATTTTTCATTGCCATAATTGCTGCAATAAAAAATGTTTTATCACCAACTTCTGAAACAACAATCATTAATATACTAAATAAAAACGACTTTGAATCTTCTATTCCTAATGAAAAATTATTTTCTCCAACCCTGTTTTTAACTTTATTGGCCTCATCTATATCAACATTAAGCACTGAACCAACCAATTCTGGATCTTCTGCCTCAACTCTTACAAATTTTTGCTTTTTATTATTATTATTATTTATAATAAAAATTCAAATATTAATATTTTTTTTAATAAAATGAAAAAAAATAAATAATAAAATTAAACTTACTTCGGCTTCATCTATAGCTTCCGCTAAGTCAACTATTTCATCATCTAATATATTACCTGAAGAATTATTTAAATCCGACTGTGTGTCTCTTTGATCAAGTTCTACAACACTTAAATCTTCAGCAACAACCAATGTACAAATATTAAGTATAAAATAAAACAAAATAAATATAAGTCTGATTGAATAATCTTTTTGAAACCACATTTTTCGTTTTCTTATTTTGAATATTGAGTATAATATTATATTAATATATTTTATAAATAATCCTAACTATTAAAGTAATTTTGTAACGATAATATTTGGTGAGTTAGAAATTTTTTCATTGGTTGTTCGATTTATAATGAATGCACCAATAATAATAAAAAATTTTTTTTTCCAATTTAATTTGTATTTCAGGCTTTTAGAAGAGCCTTTAACTAGAGATTAGAACAGAATCTTAAATTATGACCTAACAAGACCCATTATACTTAGGAATTTGTTACTTAGCATCAAAGTAATGTCAAATAGCTCTCTCTGATTTTTAATTCAGTTCGTGTCTTTACCTTCTAATAATTAACCAATTATCTTCTTACCTTGTATATACCAGGGCGCAAAGTCCTATTACTATTATAAATTCGATAAAATTTTAGAATGTCCAATAAAAATTTCGGAAATCGGCCATTTTTCAGACATTATCCCGATATTTTTGATCACCCTGATATACTGTATATGGGGCCTGATCAATAGAAACGAGGCATGTCAAAAAAATCATGTTTTGAGAAAATCAACAAATAAGATTTTGACCCCAAAATTCATGATTTGTAGATCATTGCTAAATTTTATTAAAAATTTTGTTTTTGTAAAAGATCTTCAAGCCAATAAAATTTGTGTAAAATTTAGCCAATGAAATCCAAGTCACAATGTGATAAACGAATGCCCATTATGCTATAGTTGGCATTAATATTAATAACATTCGGTAATAATGTCCAAGATAATAAAGGAAAAGCGAAGTATATCAATTTTTAAACAAGGGATATCAAAGTGTTCTGTTCCAGTAAGTAGCAGTAATCAATAATAATAAATAATGAATTCATGCATTTCATTTTTCAATATTTTATTTTTCAATATTTTATTAGGGTATGAAATACGCAAAGTGTATAACATCGCAGCTTGACAATATACAAAAGGATTTATGTTTAAAAGAATTCCAAGAATTTAAACAATGTGTACAGAAGGTGGTAAGTCTTGATTTTGTTTATTTGGAATTCTTAAATGAGGAATTTAAAAGAAATTTTTTTTTATTTTTTACAAATAAATAGATTGGTAAATCATGGTAGAATTAAGCAAAATCTTTATATTCATTCACCACTCATTCTATATAATACCATTATTAGACATCTTATATATATAATAAATGTTTTTTTTCAATTTTGTATTTCTATAGATTGCATACCAATTCAGTATTTGATTAGATGCCTTTAATAATAAGTTTATTTATTTGAAATTTTGTCACAGATTTAACAATATAATCTGGAAACCAATTAACGTGCAGATCATGACTTCTGTCCACCACGTTGTTGTTGCTACTGCTGCGTCTTCTACCGGCTGTGGGATAGTTGTCAGTAATAATAAAACAAGAGGTATAAAATACCACATAGGGGAAAATAATAACAGAATAGTATTAATTAATACTTATGAGTGTCTATGGGTATGAGGTGTGTTTGTTTGCATATTTATTATAGATTTTTTTTACCAATCTTTTGTAAAATGACTTTTTCCTGGTATCTCTCAACTGTTCCATCTTCTTTTACGGGTAAATTTTGGACTATTTTGTCGTTACTTAATAAATTTACCTTACACCATTAATGATTGAATTGTTATTTATTATTATATTGATCTTTCAAAGTATAATAATCAAGATAAAATGGTTTATTATGTTTATCTAAACCATAATAATTTTATTGAAGATTTTAATAAGCACTAAAGAGAGAATTACTAATAAATATAAATTATTTTTTTATTATCATAGTAATTATTAATATTAATTTACCATTTTGTAAAAGATTTAAAAACATTATTTGACCTTTCTTGTCCAATTAATTTTATTAAATAGAAAAATGATGAACCCTTTAATATTATTTCCTTCATTATCATTATTATCATACAAGAAAAGTTGCTTTATTAGCAATATGTTGTGGAAATTTACGAAGAATTCTCTATTGTTGTTTTGCCATGATAATTGTTGAAATGAAAATTATTAAACATTAAGGTAAATAAAAGAGTTTTCATCACGAACTGTTAATTTTTTCGAAAACGTAAATGTGAAATAGAACACGAGAAACCTACGAAAAACAACTAGACACCTGCCTGTCCCCCGTCCGTTTATGTGTCCCTCCCTTCTACTCTAGATGAATGTGAATTTTTTTAATGCCGCGTTCCTCTGAATTGTGATGTAATTTGCAAAGTTGTCCTTTGACGATATCTCCACTATGTCAAATATATTTCGTACGTGAGCATGTATTTATTGCTTTCACTGATAGGAAAAACCTTATTGGTGTGTAGCATTCTTTCCTATTCAATTTTCAATAAAGTAGTCTTAATAAAATTTAATAATAAGTTTGATCGCAATGAAATAACATTTCACCCTTCCATACTATTGCAGCGACCCAGTTTCAAGTAAAATCATCATTTCTTGAACTCGGGGCTGAAAGAACAACTTGAAGGAAGTCGTGGTTATGGGTTTGTAAATTTGTCCATCTGCCTAACAGAGGTCAAGGACAAGAGCTTTAACAATGGAATTTACTCAGGATGTGGTGTAATGTCACAATTCGGTTGAGGTGAAAACTATATATCTTAATCTGTTTTTTTTCTTATGTATGTATGTAACATCTTACTAAAAACGTAAGCGTGATGAGATTGACTTCCAATCGTAGTATTGTTATCCACCAATGCATTTGAATTGATTTTCCTTCATTAGGCTGGTCGTCTCATTCAAGCACCTGGTTCAATATCTTCTACGTTTGCTTGTGACTTAAAGATCTCGAGTTAAAGATTTCAGAACAGATTTTTGGATGAATCGTCTCAATTAGTGCTTAATGATAAACAATCTCGTCATGCTCCTAAAACTGAAAATTAAAGATCACAAAATTCATAGATAACTAAAAATCCTTATTATTATACCTCGAGGTCTAGAAATAGATAAAAGGTGGCGTTTGATCCAGGGCTTACTAGCGAAAAGGGTAAACCCCCCTAATTTAGTAACGAGTGCTTTATTTTTCATATGTGATTAATGGTTTAATCAAGTATCTCATTAGGGCTATGCATCCAGCCCTTGTTTATAAATAATTGCCTTGTAACAACATAATCAATTCAATTCAACAGATAAAATTTTCAATACACAGAATTACATGAATAAATAATCTTGATTTTATTCAATAAAAAAAAAATCCAATATAACAATAAATAATAAATAATGGAAAATTAAAAATAAAACCTATAATTCTATTAAAATGCAATATACTACACAGCAATAATATAATAATAATAAGATTAATATAATTCAAATCTATTCTATATATGTGTATATATTATATATATTTTTTAATGTTTGTTTAAAATTCTGATTCTAATTGTTTTTTTTCACCTAATATAATTAAAAAGATACAAGTTAATCAATTTTCTCCAACCATTTAGCAACCATCTAAATTCATAACCTGCTTATATATCATCAGTTGTATTTGTAATTGACATGCTCTCTAATTCGCCGCAAGTAACTTTACTACTGCTTGTACTTTCATTTGATGGAGATTGAGGTGGTTCATACGTACTACCAACTTCTGATTCTGTTAAATTTGTCATGAAATCAAGAAATTGTTCATCTCCAAAGTCGTATAATTGACTGTGATAGATTGGTTTCGACAGTAATTCATCAACTTTTATTCTTTTTTGCTTTTCTTCCTCCTCTTCCTTCCTTTCCTGTAACATCACACCTTTTTCGTAATTATTGTTTATTTGTTCTTTAATTATTTGGTCTTTTTCATTTTTCTCCTTTTCATCATTAATATCTTCCTGCGTATTACTTTTATCCTTATTATCTTTTTTATCGTCATGTTTTTCTTCGTCATTTGGATTATTGTTATTATTATTGTTATTATTATTCTTCTTGGTTAATGAAGATGAGGATGATGTGGATTGAACCATTTTTGTATTTGTTTTATTGATGCTTAATTTACGTAATCTGTAATTTTCCGCTAACGCAAAATCAGTGTTGATTTTATAAGGTAATTTAGGAGTGTCAATGATTTTTCTTAACCAATCAACTAAAATTCTATGAATGGTCAAAATATCAGGTCTTTTTGTTGCATCAACGTCTAAACATTGTTCCATTAAATTTATCCAGCATTGAGGTATACCATCAATACGTTTAGGTTTTAATCCATCACATATTTCTATTGCTAATTCAATATCGTGAACCCTATCCCCATATATTCTAATTTCTGAAGCCAATTCCCACATAATTATTCCAAAACTATAAATATCTGATTCTCTTAAAAATTTTTTTGTCCTTATAATTTCTGGTGAAAAGAATGGCAATACTCCAAATAATTGGTTTTCTGTTAACTTCCCGTCTGGTTTATGGTTAAAACCCATATCGCTTATAACAACAAATCCCTCTTTTATTATTAAGATGTTACCACCATGAAAATTCCTATGAGTCAGATTACATTGATGAATTGTACTCAATCCACGAGATATATCACATAATAATGCTAACTTAAGCGACCATAACATATTTGGATTTAAGCTTATATATTGATAAAGATCTGATTCTGCATATTCCAAAACAATTATATAATTTTTAGATGATGGATCTTGTGATATACCATAACAATGTACAACACTATTATCCCATACAACATTTTGAAAATACGTTGATATCTAAATTTATATACATATACATATATATATATTAATTAAAATCTTCAAAAAATATATTTATTACATAGATATTTATTAAATATATGATATACTACATAACAATTTATCATATACCTCTTTTAAATGCTCTGATGTAATATTTTCAGAATTATTTAAGAATTTCAAAGCAACCTTTTTATTGTTCTCTCTCGTCCATTTTTTAGGATCTTTTTGATCTTGTATCCATCTTGGACCGTCCAACCAAGTAGCCGAATAAACGATTCCGTATCCACCTTCATCGATCTTTTGTATGTTTCTAAAGCGATTGTGTTGTATCCATTCAACATAATTCAATGGACCTATAGAATTTTTTTGTGTTTCTTGTATAAAATTATCAATATCTTTGTTTCCACTAGTCCAATTTGAAAATCTTTGCTGAAATCTTTTTGATTCGCACATTTGACACCAAATACTATCAGGTTTCAAACATGTGCATACCGGCTTGGAGGCATTGAGTGTATTATTACGTTTTTTAGTAGCTGTTTTCTTATTTGTTATGCTACTATTATTAGATGCATTGGAATCATCTGATTCTGCATGATAGTAATTGGTGTCACTTTGTTGTTGTCTTCTTTTTAATAAAAGTGGCGGAGTTGGAGAAGATGTATACCTTGGACTTGGACTTGGAGATCTTAATTGGTCACGTTTAAGTGATTGTAGTGACCTACCTCTTGTAGGTTCTTTTGTTTCTTTTAATTGTAATTCATGTCTGAAACTTGGTGCCTCTTGTTGTCTCAATAAAATCTTTTTTGCTTGTTCAAGTTGTTTTAATTTAATTTCCTCCTCAGTTAAATGAATATTATTTAGTTGTAATGGCGATGATGAAGTTAATTGAGTTGGTGATGTTACTAAAGTATTATCACTAGATTCTGATGACGAATCATTTATAGTTATTGTACGAGATTTAGATTGATTGTTAGTTGTTGTCGAAGCAGCCTCTGTTGTTATTCCTGAAGGGCTTGTTGACAAAATTGAATTATTAGAATTAGAATTCGAAGAGTCGGATCTTTTTGAATTCGTCTTTAACGGAAGTTTACGTTTCTCTGTTTTAACCTAATAAAAATCAAAAACAGTTAAATTGTTGATAATTTGTAATTTGTAATTTGCTTATTTACTAAAAAAACAATTTTTATAAAAATTACCATTGTAGTTTTTCGTTTAGGAATCTCAATAATTCCAGCTGTTGTTGATTTGTTAGTCATCTTTCTTATATAAAAAATAAAGAAAAATGATTATAGCTTTAAATTATTATAAAATTTTAAAAGCAAAGGGAATAATAATTAAATAATAAAAAGACAAATAAAGCCGCTTAAAAAAAAAAGACCACCACACAATAAAAATAGTAATAGTAATTATTTTGGGAGGACAAGCAGGTTGCACCGATCAACGGAGAACAAGGCGTTTCAGGGTTTTGATTTTCGGCCCCCGTTTTTTAACCCTTGGTATGATACATTTTGTGGTAAATTTAGGTAATTATTGCCTGTACCACCTATTTGCGAGAGAGTAAGTGTAAGTACTCTTAGAATAGGACAGTTTCAGTATGAGTGAAAGAATTACTTTTATTATCATTACTGTTGTTAACATTGCCTTTCGAAGTATTTTGTGAGTAGAAATGGATGAAAATGAATTAGTAAGATAAAATGTTAATATTGAACAAATAATTATGGTTATTGCATTGTTAAACACCGACTTTCTTTGTTTGATGATCTACAGGGTTTGCAATTTGGCATACATATATATATTAGTATACAAAAAAAATTTTAATTTTCAATACGTATGACTGATTTGATCGAGGCACAAGCTTTGCTTAATAAAGTTCGAGTCATTCATTTATCCAAGAATTTTTTACGCCACTTTGTCGATCAATTCATATACGTTTCATATGTACTGAAAAAATTATAAAATAAATAAATACCTTTAAACTTATACTTTCTTAATCCACTAGGCGTTTTTCTTAATCCAATGATCTGCTCAAAGTATGAGAAATTTATCTACCAGAAGTAAATTTGTTGCCTTTACGCCAAACTTTGTTCTTTTCAGTATCAGATTCATTAGAAGTACTTTTCCATGCTTATTTGCAGTTCTTACTCTGAAAAAAAGTTGAAGCCGAACTTAATTAATGTTGGGGTAAGCTTGGTAATGGGACGTATAAAATGTTTTACTAACTATTACCCAGAATTATAGGATTTTTAGAAAATTATTCTCTTTGTGAAGGGCACTAATGATAATTTCCTTGAATGTTTACAAACATCTGATCCAACTTTCAATTTTTCTATCAACACAAATCTATTTGTACAAATATTGATGATTCATTACTTCAACAATCTTTTGAAACAAAAATTTATGAAGTGGGAATTCAGGTATTCTCAATAAATATCTTGAATATCTTTTATCAGAATCAGTGAGAAAATTAAAGAATTCAGAGTAGATTATAATTAATGATCAGGATTAAGGTTTCTGGTCGAAACTGCTTCTATTAGTAGCCGAAATTGCCCAAATACTTTGGGCAAAAATTATTTTTTTATAAGCCCAAACTACTTTTTGTTATTAGCCGAAATTGGGCGAAATTATTTTAAAGTTGTTTAAGTTAAAACAAGTTGATTCATATAGTTTTTTAATGTTGATGCTTATAGGAAATGTTGAGAAGCCCAAATTGCCCAAACTAGTTTGGGCTTTGAGAAAACAGTTTGGACCAGAAACCTTAATCAGGATCGATTTAGCTTAGATAGTCTTTTAGGATATTCTACTTCTGAATGGCTTGCTAAGCAAAATTCAGTAGTTGTGGAATTTATAAAAACACTTACAACACATGAAAATGAAAATCCCCTTGAAGAACAACTTTTTAAATGAAAGAAAAATTACTATTGATTTTGTAAGATATCCACAATGGAGCTGACAATGGTGAAGCAGAAGAGACAATCTGAAAGGGAACAGCAGCAACAAGCAAATATGAAGATGATTGAATCATGTATAATAAGATAAGTATCATTCAATATATAATTTATTGATTATTTAATTCTAAATTTTTTGTCAACCCAGAAATTTGATCCTTTTAATTAATAATATTTTATTTCCCTTTAAATTATTTTTTAGATGTAGCATTCATTCAACATACATACCTCAACTAAAGAAATTTATAAATGTCTATTTAATAATAATAATAAAATATTCTCTTTACATAATGGATAATAAATAACAACTTCATTTTCATTCACCATCAACCAATCCTTAATATATACATGTAAAAATCAAAAATTTATTGTCTATTCATGAACAAAGTGATTAATATAATTAATAATAATACAATGATGATAAACTGTTTAACTTATAGTTTTTCTTTGATGCTCTTTATTGTCAATCAATTTTTGCATTAGTCACATCAATCATTACATTTTAATATAAATAGAAATTTTACTTCTTGTTAATTATATACTTACTTATGTACTCAAAAACTCTTCCTTGAGACCCAAAAATAAAAATTGTCACTTCAAAGTAAAGTCAATTTTCTCTAACAAAGATCATTGTAATATTACCGTCAGAGATATTACCATATCGGGATTCAAATCCACAATAGTCTGCTGATCAATTCATTATATGTCACGAATTCACAAGATATTTCTTGTTATATCTAGCACGGTGGACATTCATTTGTTCCACAAAATCAAGCCATTGTTTACTATTAAATCTACCACGTGATTCCCCTTGCCCTTAATAGGCTCTGCAAAAATTTGAAGTTGATACTTTCTATAAACAAATTATGTGTTTAATATTTAAAGTTTGGAAATTAGAACTTAACTATTGCATTTATTATTATTATGTAAAAAAAATTAATTCCAAAAATTGAAGTTGTGCATGTTATCCAATTTCTTAATTTATTATTATTATAGAATTTATAGAACTGGTAGTCCAACTTTATGTTAAGATTATCACTTAGTGGTATTTATTTACTCTGGCAAAAAATACATCAAAATAAAGGTTTTTTCATATATTTATTATTTTTATGATTCAAGTAACAATTTGATTAAATCAAGCAAGTTTGTGTATGAAAGCATGATTTTTTTTCAATGCTGATCAAAAAAATTTTATAATTGAGTGACACTTTATCCCCTGCAGATCTGCAATGTCTATGAATTTGACCCAGCTGCGGCAGTAACCTATACAGTCAGACCTCCATAAACGCACCCTCCATAAATGCACACTATGTCTTGGTCCCAACCTCAGGACTTAGTGATAAATGCACACCCTCCATACTCTGC